TATTAGGCTCAAAATTTTTGGTGTATCTGAAGAAAATAAGGATTTGTTTTCACTTCATGGACACCACTGATGTCAGTTAAATTACTCCTGACGTACAGCTCTGGAAGGAAAGAAACAAACCCAACAATCCTAGAACGCTAAGGTCATGCAAAGGGAATTTTATTCTGGTATTTAAACCTCTGAAAAGAATCCACATTTGGGAAAGACCAAACCTCTGTAAGAGCTCTTTACTAAGGTAATTTTCTCACCATCTTTTTTTAAAAAAAAAAAGTGATTCAAAGTCTACCTTTTGGGAATGGCATAGTGTTTCAGCTTCCCATCTTCAGGAAGAGGCTGCCTGGCTCACGCTGCGGGCTTTGCGAAGGCCAGGCTGGCTGCGGGCACCAGCACTACTAGCCTGGCCTCGGGGCTGTCCTCCACAGCACCTGTGGCCACCACCAATGCTCCTTCCTCAGCTCAGGGAAGCATCTAAGATTGATGGCTGCAAATCAGCCACGTTTGAAATAGGAGCTTAGATCCGGCTGTGCTTGTTTCCTAACTAACTCTTTCTTCCCCTTGCAGTAAAAGAGCCGTGACGGAGCATCAGCTCATGCACGATAAAGGGAGGGCATTTCAAGGGCTGAAGCGCCTGATGTGGCTCCACAATGCCCTAGGTAGCGTGCACACAGCCAGCAGCAGGGATATTTCACTTTCAAATGCCATGTGGGATCCTCAGAAGAGCCAAGATCCCTCAGATCCCTACAACAGCATCAGCAGAGACGGGACTTCAAGCCTGACGAAGCAGCTGCTGGAACTGACGGAAAAAGAGCAGGGCTTCCCCCCGTCAGAGCAGCTGGATTTGCTGCAGTATGCGAAGACCCCAAAGGGTCACTGGAACCCACAAGACCTTTTCGACCTCCTTCAAATCAAAGAGCTGGGCAGCAAGAGCAACCCTAGCACCCAGCCACAGAACTTTGCCCACTAGCCTCAATCCAGCTCGGTCCGTCCATTGCTTTAGACACGTGATGTTGTAAGGACAAGCTCTAGCGCAAAGGTGAACTGCAAAAGAAAAATAATGTCCATTTGTGCCATTAACTACTCCTAGATGTTGAACAGCCCCTTGTAAGGAGCCAGGTTCTCTCCCTAGCAGGCAGGCAGAGTGCTGCGATTGTGAGACGGGGTCATTTGTCACAGGCCAGAAATCTCTTTTTCCACGGCAGGGCCCTCCCTGTCCGCTGCTGATACCGCAGGGCTGTGGCAGCTCTCTGTAGCTCTCGGAGGCCACATGCAGCAGGGAGTTTGGTTCATTAATCTGCATATTCACAGGCTCGCTTGCCGTCTGATGTTTTGACTCCTGAAGAAGCCGTTACCTCCCCATACAGATTCTCTTCTATTTCACACCTGCCTGCAGTTCCGCCCTGCTCTGCAGCAGTAATGACTTTCCTTATACTTTAGGTCCAGATGTTTGGTTTTTCCTGCTTCTCCAGCACACAGAATGTTTTAAGCCTCTCATCTCTCAAGTTTCCCTTCAGGGTGGCAAACTTTTGCCACGCCACAGAGGTCGAAGTTGGCAGTGATCCGCATCCTCCCTGCCAAAGCCCTACACATTCACCTTGTTCTGCTGGTGGAAGAGATGACAATCAGCTTCCAGGGTCGCTATCCGAGCCCTTTGTTTCAAGACTTCCTACCTTTTCTTTGTTCATGGGAATCCTCTCCAAGAGCTCCGACAGTGCATCAGGTTTTCTCGGCAGAAAAGCAGCTTCATGAGCCCGTCTGTGTTTCCTGAAAGACGTAGCACATGATTTTGCTATTCACCTTTAATATCAAACTGACCGGCTCTGTCTAAGCAAAGCAAGGTCCAGTTTAATTGCAAAATTAGTCGTTCAGAAATTACATCTCTGTCATGTGTGTTACAAATCCATCAGCGTTTCCATTATGTAGGGACTGTACACGCCATTTTGAATCCTGAAATTCCTCTGTTGCCGATAGACTTCAAGTGCATATGCGGAAGGCATTGCTGAGTGAGTAAAACCCAAGAACTCCTTGATGTTGTTGATAATAAAAACCCTTTTCACCCTCTGAATTGCACTTGCGTTTTTTGTAGAAATGAAACTAATATGAAGCAAAATCCGCTTTTGCTAATATCTCCACACATCTCCACATGCGTATGGAACCACATTTCTTTCATCACGCCATTCCTCAGAGCTCCCCGTTAGATTCCCAAGCCCAGTCACACCGTTACTGGACCAGATGGTTGCAGATGTTCCTGAAGAGCAGAAGGGGGCTGAGATGCAAACGGGGTTACGCTGCCCCAGGAAGGAGCGTGTTGAGCTGGGCGGTGGGAGCCCTTCCTCCCCGAACCCACCTCTGGGCCGTGCCAGACTTCAGAGCCAGGGATGAAACTGAGGGGACCTGGCTACGAAAAGCTCAAACCCCCGGGGAATGGCCATGTCCATGTGGATCAGTCCGCCTGCCCCTTCTTGGGCTGAAGGGGACCGTTGGTGTCCCGGTGGCACCGGGCCCTGGGCAGGCCTCGCCCCTGAGCTCCCCACACGGTGACCCAACCGGGGCAACACCAACCTCCCCTCCGCCGCGGGCTGGACGGCGAGGCGAGGCCGCTGCAGCTCACGGCACCGTTATGGGGAGGAGGGAAGGGAGCAGGACAGGGCTCCCCGGGCCTGGCACCCTGCAGCCTGGGGCGCTGGTACCGGTGGGCCCAGGGGAGAGCGAGGCTGAGCCGAACCAAACCGTGCCTGTCCCCGCCGCCCC